ATCAAAGTAGACTATCACTCACCCACACCAGATGGAAAACTCTACAGACTGTCGGTTCACACCCCATCACAAGCCAGCAAAACATCCACGAAACAAAGAAAGGTCTGTCACATATATATGTGACAATATATATATAACTCCGACGAAACAGTTTGTCACAGCCCCTCGTTTGTTGTCCTCTTCTCCCTCTCTGCCTACGGTTTACCGGGCAGTTCTATTTGACGATATATATATTACTCTTTGTCTGCATCCGGGTTGGTTTTGTCTCGTTGTTCGGTCCACGTGGCGGTATTTTCATGTGGGTTGTTCGGTCCACGTGGCGGTGGTTTCATGTGGGAATTGTCATCCGGGTTTTTCCTTTTGGCATCCTAGTCGGCTGGTTCCCGTTGTTTGGCCTATCCAAGGGGGCGGTGCTCTTAGGTGGGAATCGTCATCTGGGATTGTCTTTATATATTCTTTTTGCAGGAAAGGGTGTTGATTGCTATCCTTGTTGGTCATTGTGCCGTCATTTGGCCTTCGACGTATGGGGCAGTGCTTGCATGTGGGACTTGTCATCTAGGTAGGATCTGTTATGTTTGTTTTTTGGCACCCTTGTCTGCATCCCGGTTGGTTTTGTCCCATTGTTCGGTTCGGTCTACTCTGGCGAGCGTAGCGGTGCTTTAATGTGGGACCAGTCATCCGGTTTTTCTTTTTGTTGTTGTTCGGCCTATGAGAGCATGAATGGTTTAGGAATGGGAGAACCCACGTCTTGATGACGACGAATAAGGCCATCTGCTGTGTATAGTCTTTTTTTGCAGACAAGAGTTTTGTCCTGGGTGGTCTTGTCGCGTCGTTTGGCCTTTGAAGGAGGGGCGGTGCTTGCATGTGGGACTTGTCATCTAGGATCCGTTTTTGGTGCTGTTGCTTGTTGCCCCCTGTTTTGAACAGGGGGAGTTGTAAGTAAGAAGATAAACAATGAATTGATATCTTTTTTGTTTCGTTGTTTTTTTTTTTCGCTTTTGCGCTCTGATAACTTTGTGACAATATGTATTATTCACAGTGTGACAATATATATTATATATATACTCCTTTGACCAGGTAAGTGAGGATCAATGTGAGGCGATTTGGACAAATGAAAATTCAATTGGACAGCCATCAAACCGAATTGGTCAGTTCGATTTTCCTATTTAGTACATAATCAGAACCGATTTGGACAGCCGATATAGGTTGGGGGAGAAGTGATGAGCATTTTGGACATACCAGATTTAGGTTGGGAGAAACGATGAGCATTTTGGACATACCGGATATCGGTTGGGAAAAATGATGAGCATTTTGGACAAAAGGATTGAACAGTTTGGACGCTTGATAGAGTTAGGCAGATTGATTTAACAAATTATTAGAATTGCCAAAACCACATTTAGTCCAACAATCAACCGATTTGATATTCTGCACAGACCATCGGGGCAAACACAGATATCAAATTAGTGAAGCGATTTTGCATGTTAGTCACATGCCTCTGAATCACGGGCCTGCTGCTGCTCCCGTAGACTACCGACCGAGGTGGACGTGCGCAGCACACACGTGAGTGACGCACAATTTTCTGTGGGGCCCACTAATTTCTGCGCTCGTCAGTCCGAATCGTTCCGTCGTTTGACGTAGGAGGGCATAGTGGGTCCGTCCAAGTTTCTTCTAGAATACCTGTCCATATAGATTCACAAGGTGTCCGATTCTAATCCTACGGTTCCAAGAAGCTTCTACAAAAATCTAAAATGTAGGTTTGGACGACACGCCCGATTCCAATCTACCGGTCCAAGAAGCTTCTACGGAATTCTTAAGCGGTTTGCTGTTTCTCTAACCTAGGCGCACTCACCTAAACTGATAACAAAAAGAAACCAATACGGTTTTGTTTTCGGCGGGAACCCGGTAGGGGCCTGCCCATTTCGGTTCAGCAGATGTCCAAATTGGGGAGTATGCATCTAACTTCACTGGTCAAAGGAGTATATAGTTATAGAGAGAACTGCCCGGCGAACCGTAGTCAGAGAGGGAGAAGAGGAGAACAAGCGAGGGGGTCTGACACCGTTTCGTGGGAGTGTCACTGACTCATCAGGAGGTGGAATATATGTGTATCTAGTATGTTTATGTATATATGTATATATATCGTCAAATAGAACTGCCCGGTAAACCGTAGGCAGAGAATTCATAATTGTTTTTATTTTCATGATATATTGATACCCTACATTATGATATATATCATATATAATACATTGTTATATATAATGGAAATTAAATATATACTGTCATAGAGAACTGCCTGGTGAGCCATAGGCAGAGAGGGAAAAAAGGACAACACACCAGGGGCTGTGACAGACTGTTTCGTTGGAGGTTCACTGCTCATCAGCAGGCTGAATCAGGCCTGATTAGTACACGACTCAAGTACCGGTATTGTACGGATCATGTGAGAAAAACGCCCTGTGTGGTTTCTAAGTGGTCTCTGGGGGCCTCTCTCCACCCCAAAATGCCGCCCCTTGCTCCACCACTCACCGCAGTAGAAGACAAAGCCGGGGCGGGTTGAGACCGGCCTTGTCTTGTAGTGTGGTGAGTGAATCGCTTTTGGTGCGCCTCGCTCCGCCACTCACCACAGTACAAGACAAATCCGGGGCAGGTTGAGAATGGCCTTGTCTTGTAGTGTGACAAAGCCGGGGCGGGTTGAGACCTTGTCTTGTAGTGTGATGAGTGAATCGCTTTTGGTGCACCTCGCTCTTGTAGTGTGGTGAGTGAATCGCTTTTGTTGAGAACCTGAGACCCAGAGACGTTCCTCCGATGCCGAGGCGAGTGCTCAGCCCACTCACCACGGCAAAACAAAAGCCTTCTGACATTTGGGCCATGGTGAGTGTTGGAGCTGTGAGGCCACTCACCGAAATGGTGTTGTGGTGTATGGCATGCAGGGGCCATTTTGACTATATGTGTAGGGGATTTTTGGTCTGGCGTCTGGTACTTCACTGCCTCTTTGTACAGCACTGCCTGCTTCTCCACATCTTCAGCAAAACAGGTCTTTCTTGGCCATAAGGTGGCAAGTCACATTCCAAAGAGACTGTAAGTGATTGTGTTCTTATCCAACAGTAATGGTGTAGATCTGTGCGTGAGGGAGGAGTTTTTGCCTGGATGTGAAGTTGGTGACGTGTTGGGATTGCATGCTAAGTGTAGAAGTTCTTTTTGCTTGCGGTTTTGCAGGTTTGTTTAACGTTTGAAGAGCCGGAGGTTGGAACGACCATCGTGAAACTGACGCAATCTGACGTCCCTGAGGAAGATAGGTATGTGTATCGTCGATTTGTCTTTATTATTATATGGGGTATAAGACTTCATATGCTGCTTGGCGCATGCCATGGTGATTATGCATCTCGTTCTTGGGGTTTTGATGCGGTTGTTGACTCTTTATGTCGATAATGAACAACGTGGGGGTTTTGATGCGGTTCTTGACTTTTTACGTCGATAATGAGCAACTATAGAGTGACTGCTTTGGATGAAAAATAACTAAAGGACGGCGATGAGGGGTCTTCTGTCAACTTTCACTCCAAGTGAACTGGACAGCAAGTTGGTAAATCCTTTTTCGCTGCTGCGTACAGAGTTTGATGAACTGCCAATTCTTAGTTGAGATGCAGCCTGGCGGCCACGTGGGTGAACTGTAAACAGGACATCATCAAGCTCATGGTTGCTCTGACTGATGCAATACCGTTCTTTTTTTTTTTTTTTTTTCCGTTTTTGAAACACCGGTTTCGGTACAGTGTAGAGGGAGTGATACGAGCGTCTCCCCCTAGTAGGCCCACTGCTGGTCGCTGCAGTCTATTGGTGGGGAGCCGCACCTGCTAGAAACCGGGCCCAGCGTCCCATGGATCCATCGGTAACAAATCATTGAGGAATAGATCTGACCACCGGGGCCATTACCCGGCTTTGGGTAATGGGACCAAATGAGACCTCGGTGCCTCTTCAGCCTCTGGGGGCACCTGGTGGGAACGTTTCAGTTTGGCAGCCTTGCTAGCTGGGAGCAAATGAACCCTTGGTGGCCCCTTCACCCTGCCTCTGGGCGCCTGGCGGGAACCTTTCAATTCGGCAGCCTCGACTCGTAGCACCATACATTAGCTGAGACATGCCCCTTAGCGTCCCTCGTACCATTGCATATCAACCATTGTCAGCCCGTGGGGGGGGGAAGGGGTCGGGGAAGTCAGAGAGGGGCCGCATTGGCAATTAGCCTGCAATCTGTGCCCATTCAAAGAAGACAAGGGAGTAGCTTCTTTCGAATGATGTCCCTTCCTGGTCCTCCCCCTGGCCTCTGAATCTGTAGGAGGCTCAATCTGCTTTTTCTGATGTACTTGTGGTTTAAGGCCCCCAAACTAATGGATCGAGCTTAGTGATGACCTGCTTATATTTATAGGTGCTCCATCCACCGCTGTGTGACAGTTTCCTTCAGGTCCATCCACCCTTGGCAGTAGCATCGTATAGGTACCCTTGACTGTGAGAGCAACGCCGGAATCTTCTTGCGGTTGGTGCTCAGTCTCTGGTGCACTGTCCATACTCAGTTCTCCGGGTCAGAGGCGAGCTCTGAGATGGCCTTGTATGGTGTGAAAGCCAGCCACTGTTCCTCTTCCTTAATGACCCTGATTCGGTAGATCTGCATTTTCGGTCTGTACTTAGCCTCTTCTGGCACAAGCCGGGTCTAATGGTTGTTGTTGTGCCGGGTGGGTGTCCATGGCTTGTGCCAGAGTCAGCTTACCATGACATTTCCATCCGGGTGGGTGTCGACAATACTGCTGACTCTCGTCGGCTCACCTCTGAAGGCCACCCAGTCGCTCTACTCCAAGGCAGGGCCTTTTCTTCGCCCTGATGTCACCCACCTTTCCTGATGCCACACAGTTCTCTGTTTCGCATTCTCTGGAAATGAGCAGGCGATTATAAGTAGGGAACAGTTCCGCTCATCCAGAAAGATGAACGAACTTCTCCTGTTCGTCGTTGTTCCTGCCTTCGATACGGCACTCCTTTCTTTGGCCTGACCCCTCACTCTCCTTCCCTGATGCCACACAGTTCTCTGTTTCGCATTCTCTGGAAATGAGCAGGGGATTATAAGTAGGGAACAGTTCCGCTCGTCCAGAAAGATGAATGAAGAATTGCCCCCCCCCCCACCCCCCACCCCCCCAAAAGGATGCAGCATATCTGCATGTTTTCTGTAGAGTCAGGGAAAGGGATATGGAGAGGTCCCGAGCTCAGGTTCACAGGGTCCCTTTTTACTAAAAATAGTAAAAATGGAGGTAAAACTCCCCTTTTTGCCCGAATAGAATGCATCCTGATCATGTCCAGTGCAGTCATGACGAGATTGTGTTGTGTTCGCAGGAAGGCGATAGCCAGCGATTGTGTTGTGCTGGTTGTCATTTGCCTTCTCAACACACACACATTGGGTCATTTGCCTTCTCAACACACACACATTGGGCCATTTGCCTTCTCAACACACACACAGTGGTGGGCCATTTGCCTTCTCAAGGGATTGTGTTCAACTGTCTTGTGTTATAGCTCTCGGCAATTCTTGCTGCTTCAGACACTTTGCTGATTCCCTTATCCATGGACTGGTCCTGAAGACCGGTCCTGAAGCTGTCGAGACGACCAGCCAGACTGATGATTTTGAAACTGGTTGTGCATTCGGTCATTCCCCTTTCGACACACACACTGGGTCGCTCTCCTTTCTGGCTTTTCCACACATTCCCCTATTCTAGACATTATGGTGAGCAGCCTGTGTTACAGCTCTCAGAGAATATTGCTGGTTCAGGACGGACAAATTGGTAGCGTCGTCAAGCATGACACGTGCACAATTATGGTCCACACGTGCCGGAAGGCTTTATAATGGACCCCACTTCCATGATTCTTGTGCTTACGGGGGATTTTTGGGGCAAGAACGCCTTCGTTCTTATATATGTTGCATGGCAGTGATCCCTGGCCTTGAGAAGAAGGCCCCACTGGATATGGTGAGGTCTCTGTGAGGGAAATCTGAAACTGAGGGTTACCTTCTTCCCCCGAATACAACGTATGGTCATTATAGCTGTATTTGGGGCATCTTTCAGTCTAAATACAGCTATAATGACCGTACGTTGTATTCGGGGGAAGAAGGTAGAGGGTTTGAACTGCAGATAGAAAACATAGGAACACAATCCGAGGATGTGAACTGCAGCTAGCAATCAGAGGGTACGAGTACAAAAGCATAGACATAGACGTAGTGTTGTGGGGTGCAACTTGCTGATCAGGAGCTGATCGTAGCCCTGGGTATGTTTTTTGTGTTCCGTCCCCCCTCCCTCCCTTGTGCGGCGTTTTTTTTCTTGCACAAGTGAACATGCAGTTATGGCTGTGGCCATTTCCATTTTGTGGGGCTGAAGGTCAGTTTCTTTTCCTCGGGCGAGCCACGAAACAGGCTGTGGAATCCTCAGCGTTTCACAGAGGCTACCCCTCTCCTGAAGGTGGGCTCTATAGAAAGAGCCCACCCCATTCTGTGAGTTAGTATAAAAAGTTGTGCTTCACCTTTGAGCTTGTATTTAACTGAACTTCCTAGGGACAGAGAGCCTACCGGTAGTGGCTGCCCCGTCGAAGGAGGACTTCTGCATACACACTGACAGGTCTGTCTGGTAGATGAAGAGTTACTTTGCTTGAAGAACTGCTCTCCAGCTCAAACACTCTTGACCTATCAGCCTCTTTGACTTATCCCTGTCTCTTGAGAAGGCTGTCTAGCCTGGTCTTTCAGATGAAGGGGGCTTTTTCACTCTTGGTATGGCTGCTGGAAGTAGATGAGGCATGTTCGTGGAGGATCTTTCCGTGTGCCCTTCGCCACTCTCTCACCCAACCTCTCTTCTCTTGTCTTAGTGGCCTCTCGTTACTCTGGGCCATGTTACTTTAGTCGCTGTGCTTGATCGAGGAACTGTGGGCCTCTGGTAATTTGAGATGCCATGCACTATACGACGTGGTTCTGCAGTTTTGCGAGCGCAATGGGCAGCTAGGGAGGATGAATCTGGCTGGCCTAGTTTTGCGGCTGAATGTATGCTTGTGAGCAGTGATGTCATGTTCTTGGAACGAGAACAGATGATGTGTACCTGAAACGTCGAGGAACTGTGACATGGTTTTGGCGTGAGACGACGGAGAGCACTGTGATGTGTCTCTGCGTGGCGACTGACACAACAGTCTTCTTCCTTGCTTCCGTTGCAGCAGTTGGTCCTGCCAAGGTGATGGTTTGATATGTTGTTCTTCATGTACGCATGGTGGTTTAGTCTGCGCGTTGCGAATGGTAGAATGAAGTCAAGGCAGCCTGTAAGAAGCCCAGTAGAAGTCATTCTCTTCATAAAATAGGCGCTATATATGGCACATACGGTCCTGCCTGACAAACGATTATAAGTATCCGCGCGTGTCCGTGGTCCAGTGGAGCATGCCATCTGTCAGGTCAAAAGTGCACACGTGGTTTCCCTTTCGCTGACCCATATTTCAATTTTGCCGTCTGTCAGGTCAAAAGCACAGAAAGTTGACACATGTGGAACATGAGCTCTTGTGTTTGCCTTTTGTCTGTGACTTGGGTTCAGTTGTGGGTTGCGCTCTCGTGGTTTCCCTTTCGCTGACCCTCTCCTCCTCTGTGCCTTTTGCAATGACTGCATGTCAGGTTTGGGAATCACACAGTTGTGGAGAACACAGAACGCGGCTGGCGAGATCTCATCTTCAACAGGATTCGAGCCGTCTTTGGGTATTGTTGTTAGAGAGAGAGAGAGAGAGAGAGAGAGAGAGAGAGAGAGAGAGAGAGAGAGAGAGAGAGAGAGAGAGAGAGGCATGATGATGCGGTAATAAGATGGAGGGATTAGAGAGGAGGGCAGTCATCCTTGTTTTTTTGTGCAATTTCAGATTTTGGGTGTTGCTCTCATTTCATGCAGAGCATTGCTATCAGGGCTGTATGTCTCTATGACGAATGCCTTGTGCGATACGTAGGTAGCAGCTGCTAACAAAAGTCTGATTTGGATTGTTGATATGAAGTTCAATTCCAGAAGTGTGGCTGGTTGATTTTGAATGAGGAAGTCCAGTGTGGTGGGATCTTCTCTGTAAAGTTATCGCATGTGAGACCGATATCGTCTCATCAGTTTTTTTTTGGCCTTCGGAAATAACGTCGTCCATGAGTGAAGAGGTTGGAGCCGCCACATTTCGGAGAGTCTTGTCGAAGTACCAACCGGGGAAATTACAAAATTATGTTTGTGGATATGATCCACTGGAATTGAACTTAGTCTACGAAAGGTCCGAATGTCTGGTGTTTGAAAAGATTTGGGAGTCGGAGCTAGCTATAGCTTATGCAGGGCAACATTGTCTTTCGGGGGGATTCATTCAAAGCGATTGGAAAATGCTGCCATTGCTGGCATGTCAGTCAGGAATGTGCTTAAGAGAAAATCAAAATATCTGGAGTTGTTTGCTGGCATTTTCATCATCGTGTGGCTTTTTGCTTGGACCTGTGTATGTTATGTACACTACTTGTTGAAGTGTGTTTGTGTATGTGAGAGATGGAGAAACAAGAGGGGTGGGAATTTGCATCACACCAAGTGGTATATGGTGATGTGAAACACATGTACCGCAATTCTTGCTTGCATTGTACCTGCTGTGCACATTATGAAGTGATTTATTTGTTCATATTCATTTGTGCTAATGTAAAAAAAAACATGTGGAAAAAGTCTCTTCGCGTCATGCAGAATGATATATGCCAAGGAGAAAAGTTAGAAAACATTTGCGGAAATGATATGGTCTTCTTTGTAATGACATGATCCTCCAGTTGGCTATATGCTTGCTTATGTGTGCAGCAGTCCACGCTCTTTACGTCCCCGCTACTGTCAAATCGAGTTGCTTGTGTCATAGTGTAGCGCTAAAAAAATCGAGTTGCTTGTGTCATAAGTGTAGCGCTAAGCAATGTTGGAAAAAACAGGCATTCCGTAATCCCTGGGCGGGGTTCCCTATCAGTCCTATCAGTCCTTCCCCCACCTATCTACGTCTTGCCACCCCACACACCCCAACTGTCTCCCAATTCTGCCCGCCTGATTGTTTGTTTATTTTCTGGGGCAAGCCGCGTTCGTTCTGTTAGTGGTCGGGCTGTGATGCTCAAAGGTGATCTTATCAGAGTGCTGGTTCGCAGATAGACCGGGGGGCCCTTCCCCGATCGGGAGCCTGCCAGTTGGAGCGGGCAGTTCACCGGTTCGGCAGGCCCCCGGTTCAACCCAGCGCATCGTGCTTGGGGGGGGGAGGGCACCGGCGAGCCACGGAGAGCCACGGGCATCACTGCAATTCCCCAGACCCTGGGAGGCCACTGCAACGGCGGC